GCGATGTTAATCGACCACTGCGCCATGCTCTGTAGCAACAAAACCAGATCCTGAGCGCAGTTGCAGTGGTTGATATTCGCCTGGAGGAAGCTTAATGGGGCCGTTATAGGCATTCCATTTCAGCTTCCTCCACGGGGCGCCCCTCTGCAGGCGTCGGTGTCGCGGCGGCGGCGGCGGCGGCAGTGACAGCGGCGGCGGCGGAAGTTGCAGCTGCGGCGGTGGCCATAGAGGCGGTGGCGGCGGAGGAGGGCCCTCCCCTACCCGCGGCCTTGGCCTTGGCGGGTGGCACGCAGGCCCTGCTTCCGGCCCAGTGATCGGCTGGCTTGCCGGTCGCCGCATATGCATCACAGTGCGGCGTGGCGCAGCAGGTCGCCGATATGTGTCCGGGCTGACTGCAGCGGAAGCAAACGCCACTGCGGTCAACCTCCGAGGCGCATTTCACTGATACGTGATGCCCCACGAGACAGCGGTAGCACCTCAGAGGTCTGGGCTCCAGCAGCTTAACCTGCGCTGAGACCCAGCCCACCAGAAGCCTTCGGCCCTTCACTATGGTTTTGGCCGCCGTAACAGGGCAGCACACCGTGGCGGCATGCATACCCTGTTGGTCCGGGCGTATGGCGCCTGACCTGACCTGGTCAGTGCACCCCCGGACCTGGCGATGGCGGCCACCAACTCCTCCTCCGATACCGAGTCGTCCAGACCCATGATGCGCAGGTCTGCGCATCTGACGGGCCTGGACACTCGGGCCTCGTCCGCGTTCAGGGACGCTCTGAGCTTCGCAGCCAGAGCGTCCGCAGTCGCGCCACTGGATTCCCCGGGGATCTCAAGCATACGGGCCCCGGTCTGGGTGACTTTGAGCCGGAGGCCCCCAGTGATCCTGAGCTCCCCGAGATCCACCGCCTCTTTCGCCTTCGCGAGCAGTTCGCGGTAGGTAACGCCCTTCTTTTCCGCGTCCGGCTGTAGTGTAATCACTACAGCTGCGGTCTTCGGGGCGCGGAGCCTAGCCGCGATCTTGCGCGCCCTGAACTGGCGCTGCCGCTCCTGCTCTTTGGCCTTTTTGGCTGCCTTCTTCCCCTTCTGTTTGTCCCCGACCACCTGCCAACCGGCTTCTGCCGCGGGAGGTGTAGGAAGCTGGGGGGGCGGTGGCGGCGGCGGCAGCTGGCTTGCCGCTGGCGCTGGCCCATTCGCCGCAGGCACTGGGGCTGGCGCAACCACCACCTGTGCTGCCGTCTTGCCCTTTTTCGCCTTCGCCTTGCCTCTCTTTCCCGTCGCCGGCTTAGCCGGAGCCGGTTCAGCCGGTATCGGTTTTGCCGGAGCCGGCTTTTCAGTGGGGGGGAGGGGCAACTGCAGCTTCACCCGAGGGCTGGCTAGACGGCCCCGGCCTGGATGCGGCTGCCGTGGCCGTCGCTTAAGAAACCGTTGCCGGCCTCGCCGCCGTCTTGTTTGCCCCTAGGGGGGGGGCGCAGGACGATGCCTTCCAGCACGAAGAACCGGTGCTGGAAGGCAGCCAGCTCCTGCCGGACCAGGTTCAGAACCTGGTTCTCTACCGGCACGGACTGGCTTGGGCGCTGCGTCTGGGGTGCCGCGCGGGAGGCAGGCTCATGTAGACTGGCCAGGTCTGCGCGGAGCTTCTCATTCTCCTTCTGGAGAGTCTCCATGGCGGACGTCAGGCGGGCCACGTCCGCCCGCAGCTTCGCCACCTCGTCCGCATTAGGCCCGGCCCCAGCAAAGTTGGCCTCCGCAGCCGCCATGATGGAAGCGGAGGCCGCGGGAATGGCCTTGAGTTTCGAGGAGGACTTTTGCTTGTTGGCCACGACCTTGATCGCGGCCTCCACCTCCTTTACGAATCTGGCCTTACGCTCCACCTCGGAGCCGCCAGTAGTACGCTACCCTGTGGAACGCCAAACGATTTTTTTTTTAAATTTGGATCTATAAATTCGAAATATAATATTTATTTATAATAATAAAATAAATATACATATATGTGACTGAACTAATAAACGGTTGGACCGAATTCGATAATATTTTGTGTGATTAAGTTGATTCGAGAGTGGCTTATATTTAAAATTTTGGCGGTTCGCTAGTATATAATATAATTGTACAATTATTATTATATAAGAAAATCAATCGATGACTCGTAGCTTCTGTGACGTTGCTCGATAATTATAAGATTCCATTACGGGAAGAGACTCCAGAAACTGAATAAGAGATTGTTTCGGCTTCAAAGCAGATTCAAATAGGAGGCCGTATTGAAAACTCCTGCTTCCAATTTTGAACCGCCCATCTTCCTAAATCCAAAGTATTCAAAAACATCTTTCGACATACTTTGACATTTTGACCATTTACTTTTAAGTGATAAATGAAGGTATTAGCCCTCTAGGTTGTCCCTTCGGTATTTCGATTTCGTGGCCGGATAATTGGAATAGTTGTTACCCATTCGTTCACAAGAGGTTTTTCGCCCCAAGTAAGACTCCAAAATCGATTAAAAATGTTCTTCTTACATCGTCATCTACTTATTGATTTATTTATTTGCTTTTTAGTATGTATGTTACATAAGATATTATTACATACTATATATACATACTAAGTCCTTAATGGAGACATGCAAATTTGTTTATTCTTAGAATTTATAAAATTATACAAAATTAACACATCAAAATCAATCATCATTAAATCGTTAAATTAGCGACAACAAACAATCCATCAATTATCCGTAATATATCGAAAGTAAAATTATAAAATAAAAAAATATATTATTAACAAATAAAGCAAAAATAAATTATACATCATTATATACCATGTCAGTTAATAACAAAAAAATGTCAATTGTGAGCTATAGCCCTATAAAAAGTAGTAGTTGTCATGAGTAATTTAAAAACTCATTTACCGAGTAAAATGTATTTTGAAGAAGCCACTGGTATAATTTTTTTTAAATGTTTGCATAGGAAGATCTTTAATTATGTTTGGTATTTTATTATATATTGTTTTACACATCCAGTAACAATTTTTGCTAAAGCGTTTACTTTTCGGTATTTCGCTAAGTACTATCCGATCTGGTATGTCGTGTTCATGGATACCACTTCTTTATTAAGTTTATAGAAACTCTTCCCGTGTTGTTTTACAAACTTAGCAACTTCTAATATATACAAACAAGGCACGGGTAAGATCCCCAGTGTCTTAAATAATGGTCGGCATGAGACATCTGGGCCAACACCATGAATGGCACGAACACATTTTTTTTGTGCAATAAAAACTTTATTAATTTCTCCACTGTTGCCCCAAATTATAATCCCGTAGCGGATAATCGACTCAATATATGCAAAATATGTCATAATTGCAGTTTGTTTTGTTGCCACATTTGTAAGTCTATAAAGCGCATATGTGAACCTATTTATTTTATTACATACTTTACAAACTTGTTCTTTCCACTTTAATACTTTGTCAATAATTATACCTAAGAATGTCACGTTAGTTACACTACAAAGAGTTTGTGCATTATAATTAATATTAATTAAATTATTATATATAATATTGCAATTTATATATTGAGTTTTACTTAAGTTTATTGTTAAATTGTTATGACTTAGCCATTTAGTTACTGCAAATATTGTTTGATTAATGTCAAAAATATGTTTCGTCAGTGACATATTTTTATTTGTTATGACTATTACTGCGACGTCATCTGCGAATAAAGTACTTCTATATTTAGTAATCTCAGATAAGTCGTTTAAATATATCAAAAATAAAAGTGGACCTAGTACACTACCCTGTGGAACGCCAAACGATTTTTTTTTAAATTTGGATCTATAAATTCGAAATATAATATTTATTTATAATAATAAAATAAATATACATATATGTGACTGAACTAATAAACGGTTGGACCGAATTCGATAATATTTTGTGTGATTAAGTTGATTCGAGAGTGGCTTATATTTAAAATTTTGGCGGTTCGCTAGTATATAATATAATTGTACATTTATTATTCTATAAGAAAATCAATCGATGACTCGTAGCTTCTGTGACGTTGCTCGATAATAATGAGATTCCATTACGGGAAGAGACTCCAGAAACTGAATAAGAGATTGTTTCGGCTTCAAAGCAGATTCAAATAGGAGGCCGTATTGAAAACTCCTGCTTCCAATTTTGAACCGCCCATCTTCCTAAATCCAAAGTATTCAAAAACATCTTTCGACATACTTTGACATTTTGACCATTTACTTTTAAATGATAAATGAAGGTATTAGCCCTCTAGGTTGTCCTTTCGGTATTTCGATTTCGTGGCCGGATAATTGGAATAGTTGTTACCCATTCGTTCACAAGAGGTTTTTCGCCCCAAGTAAGACTCCAAAATCGATTAAAAATGCTTCTTCTTACATCGTCATCTACTTATTGATTTATTTATTTGCTTTTTAGTATGTATGTTACATGAGATATTGTTACATACTATATATACATACCAAGTCCTTAATGGAGACATGCAAATTTGTTTATTCTTAGAATTTATAAAATTATACAAAATTAACACATCAAAATCAATCATCATTAAATCGTTAAATTAGCGACAACAAACAATCCATCAATTATCCGTAATATATCAAAAGTAAAATTGTACAGCTTCACGATAATGTACTTCTCGACTGCGCTGATTCGCGGCAAGGTTCCTTCCCTCTAGTGGGGAGAGTCCGAAGGACTGTTACTGATATTGCTGTCACTATGGTAACCAAAGTCAACAACGTATCCAGTGGTACATACATTTATTTCAAAGTCTCAACGCTATGTCATTTCTAGTACAGCAACTCAATAATGCGTATTTTATTAGGTGAGCGGCATCTAGCGTGCAATGGCGGAACAACAATACTGTCTATCTTCTACGGATACATAATATTATACTCAACATACCGCCCACCTAGAACAACATTGTTCTACACCATGTACGAGTTTCAAAATACAAAATAAACTAATGCTAATTAACAAATCGATAAACTTACATTAAAACATTATTTAGTTACTGGTAATATACAAATTTTGTTTGTCGGTCGCTTAACAACAGTATTTTTTGTCTTTATGGAGACTACGCGAGTAATTTTGTCCGGACCCGGATGTTTCGCGACTACTCTGCCATACATCCACCGACAAGGTGGTAGATGGTCTTCCTTAACGATGACAACATCGCCTAAATTAGGTTCCGTCGTTTGGGAGAAACGTTTATCGCTTTGGAAAAAACGTCGTAAATATTCAGACGACCACCTTCGCCAAAAGTCCTGAACCATTTTTTGCGTATATTGCCATCTACGCAATGAACTAATATTTGAGGATTCAAAATTCAGATCCGGAGCTACTAGCGGAGGTTCACCTATTAAAAAGTGTCCCGGTGTTAATATGTTCCCGTGTTCATTATCGTCACACAATCTAGACAATGGCCTGGAGTTTAGACATGCCTCGATTTGCGCCAAGACTGTCGACATCTCCTCAAAGGTCAGCGTCGAATTTCCAATAACACGTCTTAAGTGATACTTCACCGATTTCACACCGGCTTCCCATAACCCTCCGAAGGTTGGGGCATGAGATGGAATGAAATGCCACGTGGTGCCGTTGTTAGCCAATGATTCGGCTACTTCTGCCACCATATTGCATTTTTCCGTACGAAACAAATGGGCAAGTTCCTTAGATGCGCCCACAAAATTCGTCCCGTTGTCGCTCCATATCTCTTGACAATGACCTCTGCGAGCTACGAATCGTTTGAAGGCCTGTAAGAAACCTTCACTGGTAAGGTCGGATACGACTTCCAGGTGTATTGCTCTAGTTGCCATGCACACGAACAGGCATATATACCCTTTATAAGAGCGGTGTCCCCTTCCTTTGGAGACCCTTAGCTGAATAGGTCCAGCATAGTCTACTCCGCTGCACTTAAATGGTCGTGTTGGAGTAACACGAACAGCAGGTAATTGGCCCATTAATTGATTTTTTGTAACTGCCTTGGATTTAACGCAGGTTACACATCTATGGACACAAGCCTTAACTAGTTGTTTTACGCCAAATATCCAATAGGTAGCATTCAGAACGGTAAGCATTAGTTGTGGACCACCATGCAGAGTTTTCACGTGAGTATCTGAGACAATTAGCTTCGTGAGATTACAAACCTTGGGCAATATGATCGGATGTTTCTGGTTATTTGATAGCTGGGATTCGCCTAACCGACCGCCCACCCTGAGGATATGTCGATTATCCAAGTACGGCGTGAGTACCCATAGCTTACTTCTTTTGTTTACGCTGCCTTCTCTTTGTAGCTTCTCTATCTCTTCCTGAAAGTGTTTCCCTTGACACTGTTTAATCACACATACTAACGCTTCTTTCAATTCATCCCCAGTTAGGTAGTTCATGAATTTTTGCCTTGAAGAGTGTCTTAACCCTAGGAACCGCCTACAACGTGCTAGTACTCGTAAGAGTCTGGTGAAAGATGAATAATTGTCCTACAGCTGCTCTTGGAGTGATGCACAATGAACGCGCACTTCTAATTCTGTACGAATATTTGGTTTTTCGTATAAAACCTCTTTATCGCGAAGGAATTCGGGGCCATCAACCCATAGATTGCTCTTTAACAAGTTTAGAGAACTCATTCCTCGGGAAGCAATATCTGCAGGATTTTGATCAGATCGCACGTGACACCATTGGCTTGAATCCGTCACTGATAAGATTTCAGAAACTCGGTTTGCTACGAAAACCTTCCAGCGACTCGGGTGATCACTTAGCCACGCAAGAACAACGGTAGAGTCAGTCCAATTATGCCAGTTTGATTTGTCAACGTTCAGTGCTTGTCCGATATCCACCATTAATTTGGTTAAAAGTAGAGCTCCGCACAACTCCAATCTAGGAATAGATACTTGCTTGACAGGTGCTACCTTAGTTTTTGCTGCAAGAAGTGAAACGTTAACGTTGTCTGTTGAATCGATCACACGAAGATACACTGCAGCTCCGTAGGCAGCTTGAGAGGCATCACAAAATCCATGAAGTTGAAGTTGGGCATCGCTTGACTTCGAACGCAACCATCTAGGAAGATTAAAATCAGATAAGTCTTCAAGATTATTCCTGTAGTTATTCCATTCCAATTTTAATTGCTCTGGCACTTCTTGGTCCCAGTCTATTCCTGTAAGCCACAGCTTTTGTATTATTATCTTCGCTAAGACTACACTAGGTGCAACCCAACCTAACGGATCATATAGACGACAGATATCCGAAATAATGTTCCTTTTTGTTACAGGTCCCACAATTTCCGGTAAAGCAACGACGTACTGAAAAGTGTCTGTGCTACGTTTCCAGGTAAGACCTAGTACCTTCGTCACTTCATTCATTTTTAAATGTAATCCATTATCCTTTTCCTTTTTTCCTTTTCCTTCTAGTTTCTCAATTTCCTGAAGAATTTCATTATTATTACTGGTCCATTTTTGCATTTCAAACCCAGCTCCCTTTAATATGTCACTGATGTCCTTTTATATTTTGACTCCATCCACAACATTTTCACATCCCGTCATTAGATCGTCCATGTAGAAGTCATTTAGTATTTTTTGACAAGCATATTGCTTGGTACCATCCGTCACATCCCGAGCAGCCTGTTGCAATGACCTAACGGCCAGAAATGGGGCACACGCAGTACCAAATGTGACTATTAGAAGGCGGTAATCAACTAATTCCGAAGATGGATCATCCCGCCACAACAATCTTTGACTGTCAACATCTGCTAAGTTCACTTTGACCTGCCGATACATTTTTATGATATCCGCTGCTAAACAGATATGTGATAGTCTCCAACGCAGTATAATGTGTCTTAAATCGGCTTGTAACGTTGGTCCCGTTAACAAATTATTATTAAGCGAAACTCCATACCTTCCTTTACAGGATGCGTCGAATACCACTCTTACTTTCGTAGTATCTTTATCGTTACGTGCTACCGCGTGATGAGGTAAGTAGAGCGTCGTCTCTAGGTATTTTTGTGGGTCTGACACTCTCTCCATGTGTTGCAACTCCAAGTATTCGTTCATTACTTCCTTATATTTATTCTTTAGTTCCGTATTTCTGTTTAACCTTGCTTCTAATGAATTTAACCTTTTTTTAGCTATTTCCCTACACGTGTCATGCTTGTAACTTGGATCCTTGGGTTTGAAAGGTAAGCGAACTACAAACCTGCCATCGACATCTCGGTAAGTAGTCTTACTATAATAATCCTCACACTGAATTTCCTCCTCTGTTAACAACGGTTTAGTGGGTTCTGTATCCGACTCCAGTTCCCAAAATCTTCTGAGTAACGCATCATCATCAAGGCATGAGTGGAACGTTACTATGTTCGACCTTGGTACTTTTGCATTGGTAATACCACCAGACAGCACCCAGCCCAAAGCCGTAAACTGGGCTACTGTTAATCCATTAGGACTCCTTTTTATTCCGTCCCGTAATACTTGGGTGTAAACTTCCGCTCCCAACAGAAGGTCTATTCTGTTAGGTATATTGTATCCTGGGTCTGCTAACTCTATTTCATCGAGTTCCAGCCATTCCATCGGTGGCATCTCCTTACTAGGTAAGAGTGCCGTGATAAGGTTTAGCACATAAGCCTTCACCAAAATCACGAAATCTGGATCAACTCTCGAACGAATCTCCAACGTAACCATTGCTCTGGAAACTGCCTTATTGTTTCCACCTATTCCCATAATATTACCCTTTATCGGAAACTTTTTAAGGTTCAGATATTGCACCATGGCTTCCGTTACGAAAGACGCTTGCGAACCTTGATCCAACAAAGCTCGCAATGTATAATTCCTGCCATTTTGTGCCTTAGCTTGCACTAAAGCAGTAGCCAACAAAACTTACTCGTATGATCTACCAGTTGAGAAACACGTCATAACCTGACCTTGCACACTGGTCGCCCCGGATTGTCCGGTTTCTGAGCTACTTGGTTCATGATTATTGGCATCAGTGTTCGTGGTCTTACTATTTACTGGATGTAATAAAGTGTGATGACGCTTTTTACATTTATGACATTGGATATAATTTTTACAGTACCTTGCCGAATGAGTATTACCAAGACAATTAAAACATAAATGATTGTCCCGGACAAAATTACGTCGTGATTCACTATCCTTACTTATAAATTTCTTACATGAACTTAGCTTATGGTCTTCAGAACAATAAGGACACTTAAAATTAACAACATGGAACGTTTTAGGTCTAACTTGCTGTTTTGACACATTTGGTTTATTTGCCTCTAAAGCTTCTAAAGCTCGAGCCCTATCCGTTAAAAACTTTTTAAATTCCTCAAAGGTTGGCAAAACATCAGAAGAACTATTATTGCTACTAAAGAACTCCCATTGGCGTCTTGACTCTTGATCAAGTTTTAACGATAACATATATATTAGCATCACATCCCAGTTAGATACATTTACACCTAAGTTACTTAAACCATTTAAACAATCACAAGTTGTGTCTATCAAACATTTTAAATATTGAGCCGATTCGCCAGTAGCATTACGTAAATTAAATAGTCTTTGCAAAATATTTTTGGTGAGAAATTTCTTATTATCATAACGTGATTTAATTGTTTTCCAAGCTGTTTGGTAGTTTTCCGACGATATCGGAATTTGCCTAAGTAACTGTTCCGCTTCACCAGTTAAATAACCCTTAAGGTAGTGCATTTTTTGTACGTTATCTAATGATTGACAGTTATGCACCAACGAGGTAAACAAATCTCGAAACGTAACCCACTCTAAGTAGTTTCCCGAAAATGTAGGTATAATAATTTTTGGTAATTTAACTTGTGACGAACTTGTTTTTCCTTCTGTATTCTCGCAACTACCTTCCGTTTTAAAACTATGAAGCAAAGATAACAATTCAGCCTTATAATCAATGAAACATTCTTCTGTACTGTCATATACATTTTTGACATAGTACTGACTACTCCTAAATTCTTTAGATTCCGATTCCCTAACAAGTGTTTCATGAGTCTTGTTAAATTGTTGCCATAATTCATCCAAATTAGTTAATCTAATTTGTAAGTAAGACGGGGTTAGTCGCTCCTTAGGCGACTTCTTTAAATTCTTTCTAGCCTTAGAAATTCTATCTGAAATATCGTCTTGAAATTTTAAAAGGCCTTCCATGTTAACAAAAAGATTATTACTCGAATTTAAATCGGATATCAACAACGAAAAAATTTCACAAGTTCCACAAAGTAAAATTTTCTAAGTCCCCTTAATTGAATTTAAAACTTTTACAAGTCCCAATATGTTGCGCGTATACAATTATTCTAAGTCCACTGAATAGATGTTAAAATTTTTACAAGTCTTTTTTATCAATTTAACTCTAGGTGAAATCCGGCATGGATTCCCCGTAACAACCAATATTACACTAAAAATTCTAAATGTCATATAAATATTTTAAGTAAACACTACTCGAAATTTTAAAGTTATTTTTTACAAATATTTAGAGTTCAAATTGGCAAATCACTTACAATATTTCACTCCGTTTTATAAAGTTTAAATTGGAACAGACTCACAATTTCACCGCACGATGTCCTTACACCGCCACGCGTCGCTGGCGCCGCTGACGTCACCGCTCCTCCTCCCTTGCTCCTTGGCTCGTCCGCACCCCGTACTGCCCGTCACTCGCTGGCGAGTCTTGCACGGCACCCGTGGAGGGCGGCTAGGCTCGTCCCGATACAGCGATCCACTGCCAAGGGTACGAAGGGGGCAACAGGGTTCCCTCCCTGCTGATGATGCACCACTTCTTGCCGCAATCCCGTTCGAAGGACCAATGTACAGCTTCACGATAATGTACTTCTCGACTGCGCTGATTCGCGGCAAGGTTTCTTCCCTCTAGTGGGGAGAGTCCGAAGGACTGTTACTGATATTGCTGTCACTATGGTAACCAAAGTAAACAACGTATCCAGTGGTACATACATTTATTTCAAAGT